ATTATGAGAGTTCACAGGGTCGGCCTGAGATTTATAAGGCCCTAGGCGATAAATTATTAACATACCCTTAAATATAAATTTTTTAGTAAATATAGAAGTCTCTTTAATACCCATGATGATTGACTAAAATTCGGTTTCTCTATATCATCATTAGAGTTACATTATAAGTCAAGCATAATTAAAAATTGCATTCCACTTTTGCCAATTGCATATTTGTATAAAGTCTTCGCATGTTATATTTTGTTGGAATAATTGCTTGCACGTGTTAAGCTGTAAGCCATATTTCATTTTGCATGTACTGTGAATTAGGATTATACTACATGTACATAACAATTTACATAATGATTTAAAAACATATGATGTGTCGGGATTTAATTGGATCAAAATCTCATCAATCAAATAATTTCTTCACTTATATTTTAATACCTCATCATTATGTAAAATATTATGCAAATAGTTATGTACAAAAAGTATTTTCCCACGAATGATCCTTTTGCATTGCGTACTATTTTGCATTTAAAGGTGAGCGTAGTGCTGGCATACTCTGCTATTTTTGTTTTCTCTTCAAGGGTGGTCGAGTTTTGCCCATCTTGGAAAAGTGTCTACACTTTCATGAAATATCATATTGTATGATTTCAATAGCGTTGGCTATTAAAGCCACTTTTATTGACTTTGGAGACAAAAATCTTCTTCATGCATTAAATAGCCACCTTTGCATTTAATGCTAATCTTTAGTCGTGAAGTGCATAGGAAATGCAGCCAATGAAATTTTGGTTCGTAATTAATAAGGTAGGTGGCAAATTTCCCTATTGATAGAGGATGAAGCTAAAGATAACACGTCCAATTTTGTAGAGAGGGACTGAAAGCGTTGAGTTATCTGCTAAGTATAGTGGAGCAAAAATATAATGAATAGAATGATACATAATTCTAGAGATAAATATATTAATTTCTCCCCAAATGTTTTCTACACAATTTCTCATATTATGAGAGATATTAATTGTTATTTCCTTGTATTTAGAGAGAATGTTATTGCAATTTTTTTCTTATTATAGTGAAATCCTTTTATACATGCCCGTGAACGTGGCCTAAATTGGTGAATCATATAAATTTTTGTGTCCATTTTTTGTTGTATTTCTCTCAAATCCACTTTAGTTGCTAGCCAACCTTGAACCTCATTTTTTCTAATAGTGGTATCAGAGCGAGGTTTTGTATAGGGTCGTTATTCACTATTTACATATACTTCACTATTTTCAGTCATAGTATTGGTGAACAAAATGGTGGTGAAGCATGAGAGTGAAAAGTGTATTGTAAACAATTTCTCACTATAGAAAATGAGAATAAACAGTTTTGAGAAAATATAACTACTTGGAGGCAATTGGACTAAAACCTGTGGAGGTCACTAATGATGGCAAGTGGAACGAGATGGATGACAATGTAATTACTATTTTGCATTGTATTAGCCGATGTAGTATTGTCAAGTATGTTGAGAAGAAGACGGCTAAAGAGATATGGGATACGCTGACAAAGTTATATGAGGTCAAATCGTTACACTACAACAATCGGATGATGGAGTCAACCATGATGACCGACCACATCAACACCCTCAACATTTCATTTTCATAGCTTACATCAATGCTGACATAATATAGGGGTGAGTGAACGTATTGAGATTTTACTTCAAAATCCACCTAATTTATATGATGAACTCATTATCAATTTAAACAATAACTTTGATGATGTTGCAGTTACAGTTCTTGAAGAAAAAAGTCGGCGCAAGAACAAGGAAGACATATTGACAAGTTCACAATAGGCAAAAGCTTTGACAATGATGAGAGGAAAATCAACGAAACGTTGCCTCAGTAAGAGTCATAATCAGAGTAGATCAAGATCCAAAAGTAAAAAAGAATGACAAGTGTCATTATGGCAAGAAATGATACTAAAATAGTGATTGTTGGAGTCTCAAGAAAAATGAAGAAGCCGAAGAAAAAGGCCATGAATCGTCAAAAGCTTAGGGTTGTGTATCAAACACCTAAGATATAGTGAAATTTTATACAATAGGCAATAACAGCCGTTGAAGGCAACAAGTAATTTTCTGGATGTCTAACTTATGGACTCAGGAACTCCATGGCACATGACACCAAGGAGAGAATAGTTCCATCAATGTGAATTTATCTCAAGAGGATTTGTGTTTATGGAGAACGATCACGCCTTGGAGATCGCTGGCATTGGTACTATCAAATCAAAAATGTATTATGGTATAATTTGCACATCCAAGAAGTACGACATGTAAAAGGCCTAAAGAAAAATATACCGTCTTTACGACAAATAGATAGTATTGGGTACAAAATCCATGTACAAGATGGGATCATAAAGATAGTTAAAAATATGCTTGTGGTGATGAAAGCGGAAAAGATAGCTGCAAATTTGTACATGCTTAAATGAGAGACAATACAAGAAGGAGAATGATCTATTGAATCAAGAAGTTCAGCAGAAGAGTTAACGATGATGTGACACCGCAAGCTTGGCCATGTGTCAGAAAGTGGTTGCCTTTTTTGAGTATTGTGTTATTAGTAAGCAACACAGATTAAAGTTCAGCAGTTCTATTGATAGATGTAAAGCTATCCAAGAGCTACTTCTTCCGACATTTGGCAAGCACCGATTTTATCCCTATGAAGTGCATGATATTTTGTATATTTCATTAATGGTTACTCCAGAAGATGTTGGTTGTATCCAATCAAGAGGAAGGCAGATGTGTTTACAGTCTTCAAAATACTCAAACGACAGGTAGAGCTTGGATTTGAAATGAAGATCAAGTGCTTAAGGATAGACAATGGAGGAGAATATACTGTGATGAATTTGATAAATTTTGTCAACAAAAAGGTATCAAGAGACAGTTCACAACGGCATACACTCCACAACAAAATGAAGCGGCAGAATGGATTAACAGAACATTATTAGAAAGAGCAAGAGAAATGATGAGAACTACTGGGCTACCTAAGTTATTCCGGGCAGAAGCAGTCAAAATCGTTTATTTTGTGATCAATAGATCACCATCCACCGTAATTCATTGTAGACGCCTGGGAGATGTGGACTGGTAATCCAGTCGATTATTCTCACTTACATATATACGGAAGTCCTGTGTACGTACAATACCGAAGAAACATCAAAACTCGGTCCAAAATTCAGAAAATGTATTTTTTTTAGGATATGCTAATGGAGTCAAGGTGTACCACCTATGAGATCCCACTGCTCACAATGTGATAATTATTAGAGATGTAATAGTTGCAAAAAGCAAGGTACACGAAAAAGAAAATAATAGTACTTCAAAAGAGAAATCAGAGACTACTGCATTAGAAGTTGATAAATAAGAACAAAAAGTTCTAGATTCTTCTGACGTAGCACTGGAGTATGAAAAATAAGAACAAATTGAGTCAGTACTTAAAATGTTCGACGATCAACGCAGAAGAAGAAAAAACCAGTTTAGCACTCTGAGTACATTGTGGAGGACAATGTTGTATATTGTTTACTGACAGAAGATGGATACCATCACCTTGTATGATGCTATAAGTAGCTAAGAAGTTTTTTTTGTCGATGACAGCAATACAAGAAAGAATTAAAGCTATTCATAAAAAAAAGGCATAAGATCTTGTTCCACTACCACAAAGAAGGAAGGCTATTGAAAATAAATGGTTCTACAAGATCAAACGAGATGTTAATGATAAAGTGGAGCGATATCGTGCGAGACTGGTGGTAAAGGAATATACTTAGGAAAAAAGGCATTAATTTCAATGAAATATTTTCTCCTGTTATTCAACTCACTACAGTTTGAGTAGTCTTAACGATGTGTGCTACATTCAACATACACTTGGAGCAGTTAGATGTGAAAACTATATTTCTTTATGAAGAACTAGAAAAAGAGATTTATATGTTTCAACCAAAAGGTTTTAAAGAAAAAGGAAAAGAGAACTTGGTTTGCAAGTTGAACAAATTTCTATACGGTTGCAAATAGGCGCTAAGATATTGGTATAAGATATTCGATTCCTTTATCATGAGCTTTGGATACAACTAACTCAGTTCATATCCTTTGCTTACTACATGAGATTTAGAGATTGTGATTTCAATATTCTATTGTTGGATGTTAACGACATGTTGGTACTAGGCCCCATCAAAGATTTGAAGACATAGTTGGCTAGGAAAATTGTAATGAAGGACTTGAGACCAATAAACAAGATTCCAGGGATGCAAATTTATCGAGATAACAATAATAGGAAGATTTTGCTTTATCAGAAGAACTACTTGAAAATCTTTCATCGCTTCAATATGTAAGATTGTAAGCCGAATGCGTGCCGAATGCGTGACGACGGATTTAATGATTTCCATTCTTCAACAAAAAAATAAAAATAAATCCTATAATCAAAAGAATGGTTAGTTTTTATTAAATCAAATTTCAAATTCAAAGAAATCAAAAAATAGAATAGGAAATGCAAGTGATTGAGTAAATTTTAATATTATTTAATTAAATATTAATAAACGATCTCGCTCTTGCGATCGCTGATTGTCGACGTTGACCGGTTAACGTCCGCCCGGGCTGAGCTTCAATGCTAGGTGGATGCAAGTGAAACTGACAGAATGAGTGGATGCAAACCAAATTTCGTCACACAAAATTGCGATGAAGGGGCACGTGAAACTGACCTTTTTGGTTTCATCGACATGCCCAACACAAATTGGCCTTTCTCCGATTACGCACTTTTTGAGCAAATCACTGAAGAATGGTGTCGACGGGATTGCCTCAATGATTGTTTTTGTGCTGTAGCAATTTATAACGGCGGTAGATGTTGGAAGAAGCAATATACTCTCACCAATGGGGCGAAAGATTCTAGTTAGGGGGGAAAGCTTTGATAAAAATAAGGAATAAGAATGCAACTGCATACCCCTCTGTCTATAAGAAGAGTAAGAGTTCCACTCTGATCATCATCGGATCAGTTTTCTTAGGCAGTTCCATGTTCCTACTTTTATCCCTCTTGTTGTATGTTTTCTGTTTCAATCGACAAAAACCAAATGGCCTTCAACCATATCAAGATCTTCCAGGCCTGAACATAAGAAGATTCAGTTTCAAAGAGCTACAAGTAGCAGCAAATGGATTCAAGGAGGAATTGGGCAGGGGCGCTTTTTCAACAGTATACAAAGGGATTCTTAAGAACGACAATATTGAAACTGTAATTGCAGTGAAAAAGCTTCATAAGATGGCTACAGAAGGCGAACAAGAATTTAAAGCGGAAGTAAACTCAATTAGCAGTACTAATCACAAAAATCTAGTTCAATTACTGGGATATTGTGAAGAGGGCCAAAACCGGGTTTTGGTATATGAATTCATGAGCAATGGTTCTTTAGTAAAATTCCTGTTTGAAAATTCAAGGCCCAACTGGTACAAAAGAATGCAGATTGCATTTGCAACCGCTAGAGGTATTTGTTATTTGCACGAAGAATGTACGAATCAAATCATACATTGTGACATTAAGCCTCAAAACGTGCTCTTAGACGAATCCTTTACAGCAAAAATAGCGGACTTTGGATTAGCCAAGCTTTTGAAACCGGATCAATCTAGAACCACCACCGGAATAAGGGGAACCAAAGGGTATGTCGCTCCAGAATGGTTCAGAAACATGCCGATTACAGTCAAGGTTGACGTTTATAGCTTTGGAATCTTGTTGCTCGAGCTTATCTGTTGCAGAAGAAATTATGAGCCCGATGTTGAGTTTGAGACCGAAATGATACTGGCTGATTTTGCTTATGATTGTTACAAGGAAGGAACAATGCATTTGCTAGTGGCAGACGATGAGGAGGCATTAGGCGACAAGCAATTTGGCAAGTTTGTAATGATCGCCATTTGGTGCATTCAGGAGGAACCAACATTAAGGCCTACCATGAAGAGAGTAATGCAACTTATGGAAGGATCTGTTGAAGTCCCCATTCCTCCAGATCCCTCCTCCTTTATCACTTCAATTTAGATTCACATTTTTGTCCCAATGTATGATAATAATTTCTATGATCTTCATATTAGCACCTGTGTCCACGTCACTTATTTTTAATCATCTAATCAATTTGTGTACCTTACTTTCTTTCTATGTTGTTCTCGGATTGACCAAGAAATCAATCATATGATTAGTAGATTTGTTAAATGCATTTTATGCGCTTATCCACACTTCTATTCTTATTTATTTATCATTATATGGAGCAAATATCTACTTAATTTAGGTTTTTTATGATTGATTTAGGTAAAATACATATTGGACAAGTTGGATGAAATTTGATTGAATCTGTACGATATTGAGGAACTTGGAATCAAAATAATTAAGTCATGAAGATAAGGACCTACCATGCAAAGAAAGAGGACTTGGGATGCACAAGAACTTAATGTGGAGGACCAAAGTGCACTAAACTAGCAGAATATCTAACTTTTGTTGGATTCCTAATTACACTCAAATTTCACATGGAGATGATTTATAGTTATTCTAGACTTTTTATATATAGTTTTAACCATTTTTTAGGGGATACACAATTTTAGAGAGAGAAAGCACACAAAGAAATCAAGATGAAAGAACAAAAAGTTAGGGTTTGAATTTTTTTGTAATTGAAGAAAATTCTGGGTACAAGATTCAATTCCTTCATCAAAATTTCAAAACTCGATTATAAACTATATACAATTGTTTTCCTGTCATTAGTATGAGTAACTAGATCATAGTTAGGGCAAACAATATAATTTTTGAGTTGTCCTTTTATTTAATTTTCAAGATTTTAGTAGTTTAAATTTATGTGTGCTGATTTTATTTATGAATTTTAATACTTTGCATTAATTGGCCACTAATTCAATTATATGTGAATTTGTAACAAATTGATAGGTAAGTTATAAATTTAGAGATATATTTTATGATTATTGCGATCGTTACATGGATTCTTATAACTTTAAGACATTTAATTAAGATTTATTCAGATCCATATAGAGATATAAAATGGACTTAGTTAAATAAATCAATTTAAACTCGAGAGATGTAAATTAGATATTTTAGAAGAATTCGGCCGAATACTACAAAAGTCATTAGATAAAGAATCTTGATTAGCTAATTAAAGTGGACCCATAGATGAAATTATAAATCCTAACATCCAGATTCATATTTTAAAATCTGAATTTGATTAATCGTGTGCGTTTCATAAATTTAGTTTAATTGGAATAATTTAGATAACTATCACAAACTTTATTTTTTGTCAAAACGGAGCTAGAAATAATAAATTAATAATTAAATAATAGTTCTCGCGAGAATGATAAATCGAATTCATATATTCAATATATTACTTATTCGATCCGTACATTTATGGGGATATAAAATCGACAATAGCATCATTTTGAGTGGACTATAAAAGCATCTTTATTATGAAAATTCTCAAATGAAATCGGCCTTTAAAGCCGTTTGTCATCACAAAAAATACTATTCTTTTCTTGCTGCCATTTGGCGTTTAATATTTCATTTGCCAATTAAGTAGTCACTTTTTGCTCATATCATCTTTCAGGTATTAAATTAATTAATTATAACTAAATTATCTTGTATGAGATTTTTTTTATATATTATTTAGTACTTGAACCATTTCTCGTGCAACAATGTGTATTGTTGTACATGTAACAAAGCAAAATGGAAATGTAGAGAAGAACATCTCCAATTGAAATGTGGATTGCACTGATTGTGGGCTACGTGTACATATCATAGGGTTAGAAAAAAGAATAATGTTATTTATAATTAGGGCTACACTAGTCATTCTTATACGGAAGCTCGTTGTTTGAGGCAGAAAAAGATAAATTATGAAAATTAAATAAACATTTCTTCCAATGAGCTTCTTTTTTTTTTTTTTTTCTTGGAAGTATTTCAAGGTTAAAATGCTATACTTATTCTTGCCATGAAATGATTAATATGGTAACTAAGTCACATAGCTCATCCCATTTATTTATAACAAAATTTATACGGTCAAATGGCACCCTCAAAATAAAAATGAAAGACAAGATGATTGTTTTTTTATATTTTTAACACTTTTACGACATGGGGCAACTTGACATGCCATGACCTGGAAGCTTCTGAGCAAATACTCAAGACCTCGGCGGTACTCGGGTGGGTCCCATGCAAACTCAAAGTGGTGAGGCGAAAGCAAGAAAAGAAAATGAAGAAATGGGAGAACAGAGAAGAGTCTCATGCATTATGTGAATTAACCATTAAGTCTCCATAGTCAAATTTATAAATGATTTACCAAAAAGAACCGTCGTCGATCATACAAAATGTGTTGATAATTCGTTTGACAATTTTATAAATGATGTATAAACTATAAAGAATAATAACTGTAGATTCTATAAAATGTGAATAATAATAAATAGTAATTATGAATATATATTTAAAATTAATTTTTGACTTTCACTTGTTTATATATTTATTTTCAAATAGAGTTCAAATTAAAAAATACACCACATGATGCATGGACTACCATTTCACATCACCTAAATTAACGGCACCAATGCCGACCACTCATATTCCATGTCGACATAAAGAGGGATTATGAAAACGACATGTCAACTTATATAAAACGCAATTGCATTCTTGATGGAAAATATTGCATTGAAGGGGCCACCCAATTCAAATCTATTGATCTTTTCCAAAATGATGATTTGACTTTCTAGCATTTCCCACAAGATCGGCACTTTTCTTAAAAAATAACCCCATTTTCGTCTACCAGTAATAATGAAAATGATTTTTAAAATAGTGAATTTTTGGTTAGAGAAAGATTTTTTGAATTTATGTATATAATATTTTATTATGAGAATGTGTAGTTAAAAACGAGTTTGAAAAAAAAAATTGAAATAATGATAGAAAAAAGAGGGGCTAAATAGATCCAATGTTTGACCGTAAGTAGTACTCCACTTTTTTGACATGCCATGTATTTATTTCTTTTTCGATAAACTAGCGCCTCTTCATTCGCATACACTCACAAATACTCGGTAACATAGATTTGATAGCACTGCCTTCATTTGTAATTTATTTTCTTTTTCTTCTAAATTATGAGTTGGTAGAAAATAAGTTTTGAATAAGTAGATAGTATTTATGATTACCACGAAATTTATGGTTAAAATCTATAATGGATACTTTAGATCAATTAAGATAAATTTTAACAGAATAACGATGTATACTTTCCGGAATTTGAATATAGGGTTAATCAATTTGTACATATGGTTTGAACATAATGAATTACCTCCTCTCACATAATGCTCGGGGCCTGCGTGTATTTAAAAATTTCGACAATGGGTCCCCATCTCCATTGTGAGTAGTATGTAAAAGATTTGGTACATGTAGCATGATCCTTGAATATAATAGGAACGTAATTCGATGAAATTATAGTACAAGTAGTAGAGAGATTTTCAATAGCAAAGTCTTTCTTATTGGACCTTCATCCCTTTATATAGGCCACCAGACTAAAATTTTTCGTCCTAATCATGTCAGGTTACAATGTCCTACATAGCCCTGCACGCCACCATCCTTTTTGAAGAGATTTGATTTGCTAGCGAGTTCAATTGCAACAAGATCATCGTGATGCCCAGGTCCTTGCCCTGCAACTTAGGTCATCGTGACTTTACTCAGATTGACAGCTGTAGGTGGTGTTGTCTTTCACGGGAACACATTTTTAGTCATGTCGTGATTACATTTCAGATCATGTTTCGCATGGGCCGACTTGTATGGGCAGGCCTTTCGTCGACCTTCCGTGCCGCTGTGTTTGATTTCAAAGAAAAAAGGTTTCTTTGACCAAGTCAAGATGGACCCTCAAATGATTTGACGTGAATTTTTAGATAGGCACCAACACAAATATTGTCACTTCCTCAGAATCATGCAACATTCTTTGAGGACGAGTCTCAAACAGTCTATGAAAGAGTTACTATCTTGCTTGATCCAAATCCTTGTTTTGGCTTTGCTTCTTTCAGTGACTTGTGACTACTGATTTGGCCATAGGCTGTTGCACTGTGCTTGCCTACTATTAGATCCATCTTCGTATTACTTTCTTACTTCTAGGCTGATGTGATTTCATACCTATTTGTGCTATATGTGATTTTCTTGATTATTTCTCAGAGCATTTTCAATGGTAGTATAACATTGGATGTAAATTGGTATATCCAAAAACACTTTCACATCTTCATTTGCATCTTGGTGGATCTAAATTCAAATTTTACTGCAATGAAAGTTCTAAATCCATTTTTTGTCTCTTATGGATGTAACATCTTTTTCTTCTACCAAAAATGCAATTTGCATTTTCTTTATATCTCTCAATTGGAGAAGTTTCCGACCACTTTGGAGATCTAAACTACAATTTAGATTTATTTTACACCATGATTGGAGATGCTCTTAGCTTTTGGTGCCTGTTTATGTTTTGTTGGGTTAACTGAGCACCTACATTCCTCTTTGTTGGCATTTTTGTAATGGGAAGAGTACTCCCAAATTTTAATTTAGCAATTACTCATTGTAATGAGAGTAGCACTCTCGAGTCTAGCTTTTGCAAACTTTCATTACCCGTCCTCCAGTTCTGTTAATTCAATTCAATTCAATTCGACACGTGCATTGCACCTAATATTATGTCTTTAAACAAAATCTACATGCATTAGTTACAGTCAACAAATGTCTCAAATGCTTTATTTTGAATCAACCACTTCAATGATTAACTAATTATTTTATCAATTCGATGAATATGGTGATGGGATGATTACCATATTTCTCATGTTTGATAAAGTACGGAAAGACAGAAAGTCCTCGTACAGATCTTAGAAGTATGAGGATGTTTTATAAAAGTGATCGGCGGTTTCCAAAGTTAAACTGGTTAAAATATATTTTGTCAAATTCTTTGATAAAGATAGAAGTTCGATTTGTCGGTTTCTATGTAATTATGTTGTTTCATAGGAACGAAATCTATTCTATCATCAAATGAAGCAAAATTGTCTAAATCACGAATTTGGTCGGCCTCAGATTATTTTTTTTAACACCTCTTCAGATAATCTCCAAGTTAAAATTATTTTGATTCATCAATATGTGCATGTCTGTATGATTTTACATACAATTGGTTAGTTTCATTTCACTGAAGTCAAATTCCTCAGTTTATTTCTTTAGTTAGTGCTATTTTTTTTTTTTTTGTAGACGTAGGAACCCGCGCTGCTACCCTTCAGCGGAGCCCCGACCACTTTGAGTGCGCACTATGTAAACACAACCCCATGTGCAGTAGCCCGCAAACCACACAGGAGAGGTAAACCGCACTAGGCAAGTCCGGTGGACGGGCTCGACCGAAGAAGTGTTGGCATGGGATTCGAACTCGTGATCTTTGGTCTCCGCTTTCATCTGCTCCACCAACTTAGCCACCCCCGAAGGGGTAAGTTACTGCTAATTTCATTGCTAGATAGTTGTTGTTAACTCTTGGGCAGGGCATCAAGCATATGTATATTTAAATGCTAGAGTAGATCTTAAAGAGATGTTACTTCCTTGCAAACTTATCTTCACTCGAGAATTTGTGGCTCAATTTTATCCAAACTTTGCTGATGGAGCAATCTCATTTTTCAACTTGAATTGGTTGAAATGTACCAAATTTGGTCAAGGAATTATTTCTACTAATTCAATAAAGGTGGGCGGTTTCTTAGGTCGAGATTGACTTGGACCAAAGAATAATTTCTACCAATTTAATATTTTGAATGAAACGCGCAGGGGAGAGAAGACTATTGAAAGTTCAAGTCTTTACCCTCGCGTAGGAGGAGAAGACTATTGAAAGTTCAAAACTTTGCCCTCTTTCAATCATATTTCTTGTTTACTTTGTTGGAAAAACTAAGTTGTGTGGCTAGTTTTGGCACTAATTTTGAGTGGGACCCGGTTGACTATTTTGAAAGATGGAAGTAGATTTGTATTCTCCTCCTTGAGTACATCGAAATCATATACTTACTTGTCAAAAAGGAGTTTGTTGGTGGGAAAACTAAAAAAGTTAAGGTTTGTTCTACATAGGAAGTGGATGAAATTTAAAACTACTTTATAAAGGATTACACTTTAGAGTGGTGTAATCATGTGTAGCATAGAGGCTCTCTCCACGTGCGCGTGCAGGGGGGTGCAAATCTTGGACCGAAATAGGCTTCGGACCTTGAACTTGTGTGCAGGCGCGACCTGCGTACACGAATGTCGGTGAGTGTCCACGTTTTGCTACATTTTTGTTAATTTTCAACAGACTTTTGATTTTTCAAAACTCCTGAAACTCCTATGTTAATTTTCAACAGACTGTGTTTGACACATGTCTCGGGTTAAAAGTGTTATACTATTTTATTTGTTCTTACTCGATTTGCATATTGTTCTTTTTTTTGTAATTATTTAAATTACTTGTTATTTTTCGTTGCAATCAAAAAATCGTTGGATTTGTTATATGTACAGTTTATTATACGATATCCGGTCTGTAAATCTGATATTCGATGTTGAAACAATTATCCTACAAACTTATTTTAGCTCTCATAATCAATTTTGTTGAATATTCCTGATCATTATAGAGTTGTAAAGGTGGGTCGACTCCTTAGGTCCGGTGCAACTTGGTCGAACCATGCTCTTTTCACTCAAGAATTTTCTTACCTCTTGAATCTTTTTAGAAAATTAACTGAAAACATAAAAATTAGTAGCGGTATCAAGCGTAGTAGACTATGTCGGATGGATTATGTCATTTGTACATTGCCAATTGGTAGGAGTGCTTATAGCCCGCCTATGTATAGAAATTCTGGTCATTGATTGAAAGAAGTCTTGTTAAAATGAATGCATAAAAATCTGTCAACTCACATGATGTCAAAAAAGTTGTCAAACTTGATGTACATGTAGCATGATTGATGTCGGATTCCAAACAGTTTCATCCTTTTTACACATTGTTTGGGGGGTTTTCAAACACCCAGCGAATCCTCAAATATCTTCTGTGGAACCTGTAAAGCTCTGTCCCATGGAGGAGGAGAAAGTGATGAAAAAACAAAATGACTTTTAAAAGTAATAAAAAAGATTAGCTACGTTCTTTATTGCTGAATTGTCAAGGGACTGGGAAGGCTCATTTGAAAAGTCAGTCTGTAGATATATCAGAGTCAAATGGTCTGTTGGACAAGAAGAAAAATGACTATGAAGTTGCGAAATGTTATTTAAAGCGTAGAACCGCTGGATTCGAACAAGTCGAAGAAAGAAATTTTTATTTATCATTATTTCTTCCATTACTCCATCAATTATCTCCTTGGGTCGTCTTAACTAACTGCTCTTTTCTCCCTGCTCTCTCAAACGAATCAAATTTTTGAGGGAAATTCATTTTTAACATGGCTTTTGCAGTTTCAAGTATAATGTTACTTGTTCTCCTGTTATTGTTAACACTCTCAGCCACATCCCAGCCATACAGGAATGTTACTTTGGGTTCATCAATAACTGCAGACAAAACAGATTCCACGTGGGTGTCACCATCTGGAGATTTTGCTATGGGCTTCCGGCAGATCATTCCAGGAGGTTACTTACTGGCCATCTGGTTCAACAGAATACCTGAAAGAACCGTTGTTTGGTCTGCCAATCGTGATAATCTCGTCCAAGAAGGATCAATACTTCAACTATATGCAGATGGGAGGTTTGAACTACGTGATCCTAGAGGCCAGCAGATATGGTCTGCTACATCGTCTCGTGGAGCTGCCTATGGATCCATGCTTGACACTGGTAATTTTGTGTTAGCAAACAACAGTTCAGTTGTTTTGTGGCGGAGTTTTGATGAGCCAACTGACACATTATTACCAACACAGATACTGAATAAAGGTGGCATACTTGTTTCCAGCTTCTCTGAAACTAATTATTCAAGAGGGCGATTCCTCTTCACATTACAAAATGATGGAAATCTTGTGTCTTCCACCAGAAATTTCCCAATGGACAACAAAATTTTTGATTATTGGTCTACGAAAACTTCGGGCAGTGGCTTCCAGGTGATCTTCAACCAGTCTGGCTACATCTTTCTGGTAGCAGAAAATGGAAGTGTACTCAATTTTGTGTCTCGAAATGGAGCCTCGACTAGTCAGTTTTACCAGAGAGCAATTCTGGAGTATGACGGGGTTCTAAGGAATTATGTCTACCCTAAGTCTGCTAATTCAGCAGGTGGGAGAGAAATGGCGTGGTCTTCTTTGGACTTCATACCTTCGAATATATGCACCAGCATGAGGGAAAGGTCAGGATTTGGTGCTTGTGGTTTTAACAGTTTATGTTCGTTAGGATCTGATCAATTACCACAGTGCGACTGCCCTAGAGGTTACACTCTCATAGATCCAAGTGACAGAATGAGTGGATGCAAACCAAATTTCGTTACACAAAATTGCGATGAAGGGGCACGTGAAACTGACCTTTTCGGTTTCATCGACATGCCCAACACAAATTGGCCTTTCTCCGATTACGCACTTTTTGAGCAAATCACAGAAGATTGGTGTCGACGGGATTGCCTCAATGATTGTTTTTGTGTTGTAGCAATTTATAACAATGGTAGATGTTGGAAGAAGCAATATCCTCTCACCAATGGGGCGATAGATTCTAGTTTAGGGGGAAAAGCTTTGATAAAAATAAGGAATAACAATGCAACTGCATACCCCTCTGTCTATAAGAAGAGTAAGAGTTCCACTCTGATCATCATCGTATCAGTTTTCTTAGGCAGTTCCATGTTCCTACTTTTATCCCTCTTGTTGTATGTTTTCTGTTTCACTCGACAAAAATCAAAGAGCATTCAACCATATCAAGATCTTCCAGGCCTGAACATAAGAAGATTCAGTTTCAAAGAGCTACAAGTAGCAACAAATGGATTCAAGGAGGAATTGGGCAGAGGCGCTTTTTCAACAGTATACAAAGGGATTCTTAAGAACGACAATATTGAAACTGTAATTGCAGTGAAAAAGCTTCATAAGATGGCTACAGAAGGCGAACAAGAATTTAAAGCGGAAGTAAACTCAATTAGCAGTACTAATCACAAAAATCTAGTTCAATTACTGGGATATTGTCAAGAGGGCCAAGACCGGGTTTTGGTATATGAATTCATGAGCAATGGTTCTTTAGCAAAATTGCTGTTTGAAAATTCAAGGCCCAACTGGTACAAAAGAATGCAGATTGCATTTGCAACCGCTAGAGGTATTTGCTATTTGCACGAAGAATGTACGAATCAAATCATACATTGTGACATTAAGCCTCAAAACGTGCTCTTAGACGAATCCTTCACAGCAAAAATAGCAGACTTTGGATTAGCCAAGCTTTTGAAACCAGATCAATCTAGAACCACCACCGGAATAAGGGGAACCAAAGGGTATGTCGCTCCAGAATGGTTCAGAAACAAGCCAATTACTGTCAAGGTTGACGTTTATAGCTTTGGAATCTTGTTGCTCGAGCTTATCTGTTCCAGAAGAAATTATGAGCCCGATGTTGAGTTTGAGACCGAAATGATACTTGCTGATTTTGCTTATGATTGTTACAAGGAAGGAACAATGCATTTGCTAGTGGCAGACGATGAGGAGGCATTAGGCGACAAGCGATTTGACAAGTTTGTGATGATCGCAATTTGGTGCATTCAGGAGGAACCAACATTAAGGCCTACCATGAAGAGAGTAATGCAACTTATGGAAGGATTTGTTGAAGTCCCCATTCCTCCAGATCCCACCTCCTCTATCACTTCAGTTTAGATTCACATTTTTGGCCCAATGTATGATATGACAATAATTTGTATGATCTTTGTCTTAGCATCTGTGTCCATGTCACTAATTTTTAATCATCTAATCAATTTGTGTACCTTAAACTTTCTTTCTATGTTGTACTCGTTCAACTTCATCGTCATTATAAAGGAAATCTTCTTTTCATTCTTCTCCTTTCCTTACCGAGATGATTTATATAATTGATGGTTCAACCAAATTCGTTAAGAAAACTAATTTAAGCATGTAGTCATTTACCACATCTATGCATTTCATCCCCCACTGCAACAGAGAGAAGCACGTTATTGCTCTATTCTTAATGTATATGTGATCATGTTTAATGGTTAGATCGAATATTTAAACAAACAAAATTTCACTTAACAATAACATTTTTTTATTTTAAACTTAGCCGAAGATGCTCTTAAATGCGATCCATCAGAATCACTTATTTTGTTGATAATAATCTAGAAATACCAATATTTTAAATCCACGTTAATGACTTAACATAACCCTGTTCTTAGAAGCACAAAAAAGGGAATATTTCCTAATTCGCGGATTAATAAAACCATTTGTACAGAAATGGTGTTCCAGAATATAAGGATTGCACAGATAATTGGCAGGAAAGTTCACAAATATTCTCATTATAACTGGTCTGTATATAATACAAGGCCGTGACTATTTAAAGAATGTACATATAGAATTAGAAGGTAGAAACAGATTGATTACAAAATCAAATTAGAAGGTAGAAACAGATTGATTACAAAATCAATTGACAGAGAGATTATTCTGGGATGAATGCAAATTATGGAATTGCTGTGATTATGCAAATTAATTGCTGGTATTATGCAGATTCCTTTATACAGAATTCCTACAGAAATCTCACATGGGAGGTGGGCTCCACATGAATAAAATATTGACAAAAAAATTGGACCCCACCTATGTTTTATTCTGTCCATTTCCTGTGTGTACATTTTTCTGTACAGACAACAAAGTTGTTCTCGAATTGACCAAGAAATTAATCATATGATTAGTAGATTTGTTAAATACATTTTATGCGCTTATCCAGACCTCGATTCTTATTTATTTATCATTATATTGAGCAAATGTCTACTTAATTTAGGTTATTTTATGATTGATTTAGGTAAAATACATATTGGACAAGTTGGATGAAATTTGATTGAATCTGTACGAAATGAGGAATTTGGAATCAAAATAATTAAGTCATGAAGATGAGGACCTACCACGCAAAGAAAGAGGACCTGGACGCACAAGAACTTAATGTGGAGGACCAAAGTGCACTAAACTAGCAGAATTTCTAACTTTTGTTGGATTCCTAACTACACTCAAATTTCACATGGAGATGATTTATAGTTATTCTAGACTTTTTATATATAGTTTTAACCATTTTTTAGGGGATACACAATTTTAGAGAGAGAAAAAAACAATGAAATCAAAGGGCAAAAAGTTAGGGTTTGAAATTTTTTGTAAAGAGAATTCTGGATACAAGATTCAATTCCTTCCTTCATCAAAATTTCAAAACTCCATTATAAACCCTATACCTTCATATTATTTTCCTTTCATTAGTATGAGTAACTAGATCATAGTTAGGGCAAACAATATAATTTATGAGTTGTCCTTTTATTTAATTTTCAAGATTTTAGTAGCTTAAATTTATATGTTTTGATTTTATTTATGAATTTTAATACTTTGTAAATTTGAACTCGAAATGGGTAAATTTGATATTTTAGAAGAATTCGACCGAACACTACAAAAATCATTAGATAAAGAATCTTGATTAGCTAATTAAAGTGGATCCATAGATGAAATTATAAATCTTAACATCCACATTCATACTTTAAAATCCGAATTTGATTAATTGTGTGCGTTAGATAAATTCAGTTTAATTGGAATAATTTAGATAACTATCACAAATTATATTCTTTATTTTTCGTCAAATTGGAGCTAGAAATAATAAATTAAGAATTAAATAATAGTTCTCATGAGAAAGATCAATTGGACTGATTTACTATATTACTTATTCAATTAGTATATTTACGGGATATGAAATCGACAAAAGCATCATTTTTGTCATGAATCCCGTGGACTATAAAAGCATGTTTATTAAAGAAATGCTACTTGTATACCGGGGTTGACACCTCGGTGTACAACCCCCTCATAAGAGAGGGGCCCACGACCAATAAAAAATAGCGAACCACTCCTTATGTGAAGGAGTTGTACATTGAGTTGTCAACCTTGATATGCAAGTAGCATAACCCTATTTATTATGAAAATTCTCAAATGAAATCAGCACTTATTCGTTTGTCATCACAAAAAATGCTAATCTTTTTTTTTAAGCTGCCATTTGGCGTTTAATATTTCAGTTGCCAATTAAGTAGTCACTTTTTGTTCGTATCATCTTTCAGGTATTAACTTAATTCATTATAACTAAATTATCTTGTATGAAATTTTTTTTTATCTATTATTTAGTACTTAAAGCATTTCTCGTGCAAGAATGTGAATTGTTGTACATGTAACAAAGCAAAATGGGAATGTAGAGAAGAACATCTCCAATTAAAATTGTGCTGATTGTGGACCACATGTACAAGATAGAGGATTAGAGAAAAGAATAATTTTATTTATAATCAGGGACTGCAGTAGTCATCTTCATATGTAACTTGTTGTTTGAGGCAGAAAAAACGACGATAAATTATAAAAATTAAATGAACATATCTTCCAATGAGCTACTTTTTTTTTTTTCATGGAAGTATTTCGGGGTGATTTTACATACGTTTTGACGCAATCCACAACCTCATCCTGATTTCGTAACTAAATGAATTTAATTCAATTTAAGACTAAATGAGCCAAATTTTTTGTGTTCTAGCATTTGGTGGCCATGCAAAAACAGAGCTTATATTTCAGGAGCCAAATAAGGAAGCCAAGGCGAACAATTTGTTCATCCAAAAGGTATATTTTTGTTTAAGTCGTTCTTGAAAAATCCACGGTAATATGAAGCATTAGGGTCAAACTCAGAACAGTCGTATTTGGTACAAAGTATTGGACAACATAGTAAAAAATATTTTAACTTCATCTCCTTTATTTGGTGAAGTGCAGTACTATTCTGCGTTAAAAGTTAAGAACGTTTTTCAACAAATTACCACTTCTTAAACGTGGCTATTGGTGATTGGTTGTTTTGTTAGCATTTGCTCAATCAAAGTCAACACCACAGTAGGTACAAGTTCTGTCTCCTCTTCTCCTAAGGAGTTCAATTGAGCTATAATCCCCATAAGGTTGCTTTGAAACCACTGGCTGACTTCACTACTAGCTGTTATCCTGGAGATTCTCTTGGAGGATTCACTCTTGATCTCTATCTCCTCCCCTCAAAATTAAATTTGATGCGGCCCCTGCTGAAATCAAATAAGACGGGATCAAATTGGCTTAGCCAATCCATTCTAAGCACCATATCACTGTCCCCAAGTCTAATTATTCTCTGTTGGAATTGGAACTCCATTCCTTGCATAGTCAAACAAGTCGGTTAAATATGGTTGTGCTCATCAGTTTTTCACCATTGACTACTATCATATCACTATCACTTGTTTGGTTGTTAGTATCTTACACCTTAGCTCTTGCATCATTTTTTTCATCAAGGAAGTTATGTGTACTACCATTATCAATCAATACATATACCCTCCTCCTCTTGATCTGACGTGGAATCCTGAGAGTTTGGGGCCTCAAACTTCCTGTGAGTGCACTGATTGATATCTCCATAATCTCCTTTCCCTCACCCCCTTCACTTAATTCTCCATCTTCTTCAAGATGTTCCCCTCCTGGCTATTCTTTTTCATTAATCAATATTCTTGCAAATATGCAGGAGACATTTATAGTAAGGTCCAAGGCTCTTTTTTGTCTGGAGGTTTGTGGGAGTAATGGTTCTAAATTTCGACTGATGTTTTCAGAAGTCTTATGGGAAGAGTAAGGCCACTTGGGTTGGGAAAATATTTGAAGTATTTTGGCAGGCTTGTTAATGGCAGGGCTATCTCAAAGGCTTTAACTAAGGTGAAGGGTTTGATAATCTTAACCACTGATTTAATTTCCTCTTTCAATCCATAGGTAAATATGGATATATAGTAAGACTTAGGTAAATGGGGTAGGGATATCATTACCTGGGATTTCATCTCTTCAAATAGCTCTTGATATTCCATAATGGATCCCTTTTGCCTCAACTTACTGAATACTTCTATCACTTCCTCGGCAGTGACTTCAGCAAATCGTCTACAAATGTCACTTGAAAACATGTCCCGATCAACATTGGGATGGTTGAAGATGAAGCCATGAAACCATATGTACGTTATTTCCCTTCAAATACATCTCAGCTATTCCTACCCTCATTTCATCAACTACTTGATGTATCTGGAAATGTTTTCGGGCTTCTCTCAGCCATTCTCTAGGGCATTCTCCTTCAAAATAAGGAAAAGCTGTGTCCGTGTTTCATCCCCATTTTTTTCAAAATACATTTTTTCTCTTCCTTTCAACCACATATTCTTCAATAAAATATATTACACGTAAATTTAAAAAAATTTCATATTTTTTAACAACACATTTTTTGTCAATCTTCTATTCAAAAATCATCACGAGGTGGGTCCCATTTCCCATTCATCCTAGCCTCTCTAGCTCCACTGGTGTTTCCAAAGTGATGGCCAACTCCAATAGGACTACCACTGTTGATTTGAGGTGGAGTACCATAACCCACAACTTGTTTCTCATCGCGGTCTGCCTTACTCCTAATCATCTAACCCATTTCATATTTACTGTTCAATTGTGACACTTTTTTGTCTAACCTTTTCAGATGATCTTCATTTGATTTATTCCTAGTTTCAGCCATACCCAGATTGCGTTGCTGCTCTGATAGCAAATGTAATAGTTGAGCTTGAATCTCAACCCAAAAAACCAACAATTCCAGCACCAATAACCCAGAAATTGAAAAAGAAATTCAGCAC